AATCTCTAAGCTAAACGGCTGATTGCCACACCGGTAAAAATCTAAACGTATTCTACATTTTATTTTCGCATAAAAAGCAATGCTTATTCTATTAAATTTTTATAGTGAGATGATTATTGGATCAGAAGCGAAAATGCTTTTCCATAAAGAAAATATAATACATATATACACTATGTAGAACTTGCGAGATACTTGTTTGTGTCAATTATTTTGTTTGTAGTAGAGTACACCGACACGCGGAGATGGGCTAGCGCCTCGCATGTTAAACTTATATGATCTCTCGATCGTGGGTTTAGTCCACTAACGTGGAGGGATGAAATTTTTATTTTTCGGGTGTCTTTAGAGAAAAAACTTATATTTTTACCCGTGCATGGTGTGCTTCACGCCAATCATGTTGAGGTCAGAGTAATCTCTGTTAGTTTTTTGTATTATTAGTAAGTTAAGGCAAAGGACTTCTTCCTTTGCCTTAACTTACTAATAATACTTGATGCCTTAGTGACAGGCAAAGTTTACTAATCGGCGGACCGTCCCGAGATTATAAAGCACGCTTGCAGGTCGATTTACTATTATCGACCTTAGACCTTAAGGGTCTAAGAGTGTCCTTTTCCACAAGAGACAAATTGCATTGATAGAGCTGAACCTCCCGATCAATTTAAAAACTCTACAAGCATACCTAAGCACTGATGTATTATAGAAATTTTATATTACATTGTACGCATCCTTAAACCACCAAAATGTTACTAATACCAACTTCGTAGATTTTTACATTGACGTGTAGAATCATTACAAATAATAATATATTTATTATAGTATAATAATAGTATATTTTTTATTAGATATACCCAGTTACACGCTCACAGTAAATACGAATCTAATGACACCTCTCAAGCTAAAATCCATCAAGCTGTTCAGGCTGCAGAGCGTGCCAAACAATTATACATACTTAAATACTCTTGAAAAACATAACCCTCCTTAACACGTATTTTAACAGAGGACTGAAGAAAATAATAAAAATTTAACGAATCTCCTCACCAACTCTTTGAAGGGATTCCAAGGGTCCGCCGAGACATAGCTGAGAGCAAGCAGCGACAAAACAAACAGTAACGTTATTAAGAACTTCATTATGCTCGTTTAATGAAGACCAAGGTACTACTGATACAGAAGTTATGTTAATAACTATGCGGCTTCTGGCGTGATTGAATATATATGTCTGGATACACAAAGATATTTATGTGGTTTGCAAATTGTACAGAAAAATCAATGTAGTATCTACTGCCCGGAGCATTAAGAATAAATTCGCTTGTCCGTAACAAACTTTATCACTTACTTAATATGAATTTACAGTCTAAGCTTCCTAATCGCTCCACAAGTGGGAAGTCCCGCCTCCAAGTAACAAGATTAAATTTTTATTTTTCTACGAATACATGACACAGTTGAGTTTAAAGGTTTATTTAATTATAGTGAAGAATGTCGAGTTATGTTAGTCATTTTCGTAAATTTACGCACATAAATATTAACAGCTTTAAAGACATGGAGAATAAATGATTTATTCTTTCTGTCTTGAAAGGTTTACCAGCATGTTTCAATTGTGTTTGTTTCTTTTAAGTCTGTGCTTAAAAGAAGTCCTCACAATTCAACTAATCACTAACAAGCAATCGTTTTTCATTTGTAAGAAATCTTATCTATTTCTTGACAACAGCATTTTATTTACTTTAGAATATTAATTATCTCAGCAGCTAGTTTCAAAGTCATAGGTAATTTCTAAAGGATATTAATTTTTAAAGTGTTACTTTGTGAATACAAGATGAAATTTAAAATTTGTAGAAAAATGGATCATAACGTTTCGTATTTCATCTTCACTCAAGAAATAATTATTAATTTATTTTATTATAAATAATTACAAATACAATTATGACACCTTTGCTGACGATAAACTTTTCCTACAATCTTTTTAAATTTCATGTTGAGTGCAGAGAATATCACTAACAAAAATTTAATATCCTTTAAACTTTTAACAGTAACGGTATCATCACTAGTTTTCAAAATGTTGTATAAAAAGTGGTCGTTTTCTGTAATAGACTAAATACTAGATACCTAACTCCAAACATTGCTTAAAATGTAATAAAAAAAAAACAAAATAAAGTTGTTATTTTCATAGTTTTGAAAATCATGATGTAAGATAGCGTTATGATATAATCTTAGATTACAGAACGATTTAGAATTAGGTATCAACCTCTTGACTTGTATAGTTATTTAAAGAAACGAAATACAGCGTATATTGCGTATAGGAATCCATATTATATTCATTCATAAAAATCCATCTTGTTAATCCGATGGATACGATTACTATGCACATACTCTCATACCTACTTTAAAATATAGGTTAAAGCCAATCGTTGATGAGATTCAAATTCACAGGTTTTATTTCAAACCTTCACCTCAGTCCAGAACAAAATTATCGTAAAAGTAAGAATTATTAGGATCAATATCAGGTGACGATTTAAAAAATAGGCACATTCAACTTACTACTGCAGATTATTCTACAAGGGGATTCACCGATAGCCTTTGACCCTGAGCAACTGTTTATCGCAATTCCATCGTGTCACAAGACATGTTCACTATAACCTGTTAGAACTTAATTGATCTTACTGGTTGGTACACTAAAACCACAAACATCAATTTAGTCTACTCATTGTAACTACAGAAGCAAGCAATTTGTAATGGAGATTGGAAACTAAACAAGACGTTTGCCATTCATTGCCTTTTTTAGGTATGGGGGGAAGGAATCTTCAAAAATAATATAATAAAGAAATATAAATAAAAAAATACGTAATCTGACTCTGGTAAAATGGTTGTTGTCTTAAAAATTTTGGAATGTCTTGGTTTTTTCTTCTAAAGTTATAGAAAGCAACCGAAACATCGTGTAATGAAGTGTAAATAAACGTGATCAACTCGTAAAAATAATTTCAGAATTCAAAATTATAATTTCTTATATCAATTATTACACACACAAAGTAAATTCATTAACATAAAACAATGAAGATTGCCACAGCTCATAGCTTTAATTGAGTAATTCTATCTGAAATAGCATGTTTAACAGGATAAACGGAATCCTTTGCTTTAATCCAGGGCATGAGACATAGGTAGGAAAAACACTCGTGATACCTTAGCATCAGTAGGGCTAGTATACTTCTCGAAGCTATTTATAATACTGATTACCTACGTGTTTACTTTAGGGGTTATAGGTTCGGCCTCCGATCTTAATCACCTGAAATACTTCTATTGTGAGATGACATTGTATGATACCTTAAACGTAAACGTTTGTACTGGTGCCAGCTAAATGTTCGCAATAAGAGAAGCTGATTGGGGAAACTATCAGAATTTATAAAATAACTTTCGAAAACCAAGAGTCAATACCCTTAAATCATTCTTTAGTGTTGTGAGTTAAAAACATGTCGCGTTTATAACTTTTGTGCATGCTTGTTACCAACGTAGTCGTTCAAGTTTGCAAATACTTGCGGTTTTTTTATTTAATGTAATTGGCAAGGAAGCATGCGGTTCACCTGATGTTAAATAGTAAACACCGTCCATGAACATCAACAAGACCAAACCGGCTGCAGATGCTTTGCCAAACAGTGGGTTTGGGTCCCGGTCACCAGAACAAACACAAAATTTTACTATCTATTTCTTATTGTTATTTTCATATTTATTCTCATTATCTAAAATTTGTCGCGGTACTTCCCCAGACGAGCCTGCCTGGTCGTTAAACATTGGAAACCATTAAATAAATACTCTATTATAAAAAACAAGTACCTAGTGTCTTATTACTTGACAGTATAGCCGAAGGACCTATCATAATACAGATACAAAAGACGGAGAGCTTAATTGAATTTGTCAGATAGTATAATCTTACGTCTCCATTTAATCTACACCCTGAAATATTCAGTAGCTCCGTAACTGTACAAGACGGGCCTTTAGATTAGACTGTTGTTTATTCATATTGATAGAATTTGAGACAGAAAACCTCTTTACCACATTACAAAGGTTTCTATGTAATGAGAAGACATGCGTAGAACAAATAACAGTGAATATACTGTGCTACCATAATTCGTTACTGAAGTAAAATTTTTCTAACAAGTAGGAATGAGGAAGACAGGAACGATGCTCCTGATGGCAAGACCTTATCGCTGTCTAAAGATAACAAACAAGTTACCGAGTAGGACAGAAAATTATAATAATTTCTACATTAAGCCGATATTCGAAGCTTCTTCCGCCAACAAAGAATAAACAGATTTATTCAACCGCACAGGCACAGCACGGCTCCAAAGTATAATAACGGAATGAAATAGAATTCATCAATGATACAAATGCTGTTATAGTTCAGTGCCCACTTTAAGCTCGATATACTAGAGATCAAATCCCGGTACCAGCACCAATGAAATTATTGATTGTCATTTTAAATGCGTATGACGTGCTCAGCGGCGAATGAAAAAATCATGAGTAAACCTGCTTTATTTGCGAAATTATAATAAAAAAGTTTTAGTCCAAAATATTAAGTGAAAAATAATTTAAAAAAATATTAGGTCTACCAATACGCGGTGCTATTGCTTGGTGGACTATGACTACCTAGGTAAGATGACCCTAACACCCTCTGTACAGACAAGGACTCTGCCCACTGGTGGGACATATGTAGGCTGTTACTTCACTTTATATTTTTTTTTACCGTTGAATGCTGTTTTGTCCTGGCAAACTTGGTACAGTAAATCTCAAAGCAATTATGATTACAATTAATTGAGTTAAATCAAAACCACAATTATATACTGTACTAACCACGGTTCAATGATGGAAGGGCTGTCAATAAAAGAACTATATGTTATTAACATTTATTAAGTATCATTTTCCAATAAATTAATGAAGTAGTTCCATATCATTCATTCATAAGTTTTATTAAATAATTGCTCTTTCTTCTCATAAAGCTTCTTTTGTGTTGACGAAATTCATTTTCCCGGCTTTATTATAGACGCCGCTTGACCGACCACACCGACAGCGGGCCCCGCTTTAATGATCCCATCGCGAATGTTTTGTCCAACTTTCTCCTGAAAATCAGAAACAATGTTTTTAATTAGAAGTTGGCCTATTCCTTGGATATTGTTTCCTAGTTCTCGCAAAACAAGATGGCCTTTATCATAGAATAGACGAAGTCCAATGCGCGGTCTCACTGTATTAAGTCTTGTTATTAACGAAAAAAGGCGAAATAAAATTAGATGATTTTTTTAACATTTTGATTTAAGTTCGTTATTATGTTATAAGACATGTGTCACAAAAACCTAATTCGTTCTCACGTGGCAGCCATATCGATGTTTATTAAACATCCGACGCTATCAGTACGGTCACAATAATTGTGACTCAAATTAATTAAATCTTCAGAATTAACATGGCCAATCTTAACTTTTTAATTTAAGTTCCATATAAGATAAGTGACACAAATAGTGATTCGTTCTCAAATGGCAGCTATATGGATATGTATTAAACATCCGATGCTATCAGTACGGTCACAAGTGTGGCTTAAATTCATTCAATATTAAGTAGTAACACGGTCAATCAGACAAACAAACATGTATTATGTATAGAAATATACTCATCGTGAAATTGTATCACTTAAACTCACCAATTTCTTGAAAGGATTCCATCTAGGACTCGGAGCACCGGTAACACAAGAAAGTGCCAAAAGAAAAGCAAGAGCAAAACTGAATAACTTCGCAAAATTCATTTTTAAATTTAATCGTGAGGTAAACTGCTAGTACCTTTGTGCGTTAGTGTTTTCAATCCAATGATTGCGTTGCTGGATAGCCTGCTTTATATAGGAAAACTATCCATGAAACATTACAATTATCCTCAAAGAGTAGATTGAATGAGATTGAATCTTATCCTTGGGCTTTAAGGACGAATTTACCTTACGCAAGAGCGAGGGAGATGCAAAGTTGTTCGCGTACAAGAGAGAAGAAAGTGGGGCTACGGGGACTCCCAATATTAACACTTAGTGAATATCCCATAAGCAAGCTCAGAATTAGGAACCGGTATGGAAACGGATCATTAAATCATGAAACCGATGTATTTGTTCATCTTTAATTACTTAATTACTTAATTAATTCTTCTGTACGTGTGTGTGTCACTGAACTCATCTTAAATGGCTGGACCGATTTTAATGAAATTTTGTGTGTCTTCAGGTCGATTCGAGAATGGTTTAGATTCACAATTTAGTCCATATTTTTTATTATTTTTTTATTTATAAGTAATTGTTTTCGGATTTAGGTCGTGTTTACAGGACAACGTCTATCGGGTTCGCTAATTCCTATATATAGTAATGGGAAATGAAAATTAAAACAGGTCAGCAAAGAAAAGAGGTTTTTAAAGGTGAATCGATAAGGTTTATTGAAACTATTTTATGGATTTTATTGGGCAGGCTGTCTAGCGACCGTAGACGTTGTGAAAGTTTGAAACCTTTCATTGAATTAAAAATGCAACACGATAATATCCGCAAAATACTTTCATTTAACCATGTAAAATATTCGAGTAAATGAAAGAAATTAATATATTTATAGACGTTATTATATTGAAAAGTAATAAGGTTTACTTTTGTTTTGCCGTGATAGCTCAAAGTCCGGGCTCTCGCTATAATCGATTCATTATAATCGAGCAACCTGAGTTCCCATCGCGGTGCTAACACCAATAAGGAAGTCAATAGGGTCTAACGCTTCATATAAAAGTATATAAGTTTTTACACGTATTACATTAGAAGTTGTAAATTTAATACATTTAGTTTTTTTTATTATTATTGATCGATTAAGTTGTTGGCACAAAACCAATAGCATCTTAACTGCTTCTACATAAGGATTTATCAATAAAGTAAAAGTAAACCTCAGGTTGCAGAACTAAAATTTAGGCTCAAATATTGCACAACAAGAACCCTCAATGTTTAATCGCATTCTTAGTAAATTTAATTATTTTTTTTAAATGTTGTCGGTAGATCCAATACGACGCTAGAACAACCAACCACCTGCAGTACACCCCATTATAACAGATGCTATAAAGTGAATAGTTATTTTTATGTGAAAAGTTGGCAAGCGAGCAGTAGGTTCACCTGACGTTCACAGATTGCCGCTGCCGATGAACGTCTACAACACCTGACGGATTGCAGATGCCTAGCCAACCATTAAAAAAGTGGGTCCCGGCTACCTCACTCACCTGACGAAACGCTAAATTTACTTAAACTTTTATGTATTATTAAGTATGTTTATTAACTGATTTTAGTGCTTTGAGTCCGTAGACTTTTAACGCTTCATCGAACGCAGAACCTATGCTATCTCAGGGGTTGTAGTAGTCTTGCACTGAACACATATTTGTGTGATCCAAAGATAATTATTTTGAATATATAATATAAGAGCAATGCTTATAGAAAATTAAAACATATCAATCGTACACATATATATTTACTAGCTATTTAAAATATACAATAAGTACTCTTTTTATACAATACTCTCAGAAAAACAGTTTTTGTTTTTTCTAATAAGTCTCTTCAACTTAACATTTATTGAAACCATCTTCACCTGATATCTAAAATCTAATATACAAGTATCAGTGACAACCGATCTGAGAGGTTAAACACAGTGTAATAAAATTTCTCTTCCTATTATAGTATTACATGAATCGGCAAACATAAAATAAGCCCTTTAATATAACCAATACGTAAGCGACAAATAAATTTACGTTGTTTTTCCAGGCACTCAGCTCGATTGGTATCTTTCCATGAGAAGAAAACTATTTGGTTTAGAGTTAGTCCCTTTTGTCTTTTCAATGAACACACGGCAGTATGGTATGGCATAAATAAAGCAACATTGAAGTTTAATATTTGATTTATATTAAATGTTATTTGTATTTATAATATAAGTAATTCAGATTCGCGATCAGACGATCTTGCCTTTTCTATGTGTTCTGTGAGGCACCAATATAAACTTTTGCCTTGTGTAAAAATAACGAAGCATCTTCTACTGCACTTGTAATGATCACTGTAAGGTTTAAACATCAAGAATTAGACATTAAATTAAACTGCAAGTCAACGAGACAACATATATATGAGAATATTAAATGAAACTAGTTTACGGATTTTATCGCATTCATAAAACCAATGCTCCGTCATACTCAATTGTCAACCAGATCGAATCACCAACTTATAAACTGGTCCAACATCTTGTTAAGATCCTCTCACCACTCAGAGGATATACAAAGGCGTACATTAAAGATTCATACCATTTTGTCAATGAGATTAATCACGTACATCTTGCTGACAATGAAACTATGTTTAGCTTTGACATACAGTCTTTATTTACATGCTTAACTATACAAGTTTGTATTACAATAATTACTAGAAAGCTTAAGGAGAACAAAGTGCCTATAGAATAAGCATTACTGCTCAAACATCAACAACATCACATCTATCTATTGTGTAGAATTCTTACATACAGTATGATGGTGTAGAAAGGATGATCCGCGAGGCTATTGAAATAAAGAAACATCCTAATTTCAATAGAGAAGATGGTTGGGGTTTATCATCTGCGTGGGATCCCATAATTTATAAAATTAATTCAAGCACACAAACACTTCTAGACCTCAAGATAACATAAGTACTTTCTGCGTGGATTGGAATAAAAATAAAAAAAATAATTGACGGTCTTACTGGCCTGACAACTTAGTCTGTCCCGTAACCATAAACGCTGTAAACGGTCGATTTGAATCGACGGGAATTTCAAAACAAAATAAAAACGCAATCATATTCGTAAATCGAGGCACTTTTTTAAAAGGTGGCTATGCATCTGCAAACCTACAGGTGTTATAAATATCAATGGAAGGGGGTTATCGTTTAACACCTAGTGAATCGCCAGCTGTTTTGCCACCATTTCACATTAAAAAAAGTATTCCGACACAGTCTTGAAAGGAGGCAAAATAAGTTCTTAAAATGCATGCATTATTAATGCATCCATGTGAATTTACCCTATTCAAAAATAAAATGTAAAAAACAGAAGAATTTTTAATCAAATTACCACAATAAGTTTGACTATGTTGACTTAATCATTTTTTATAGATTGTTGGCAAGGCCTCATGCGAGAACCAAGCGTTTGTATCTGTGATTCGAATAACCAAATATTCATACAAACACAGGGAAATGAAAATGTTTTACCATATTGATATATTTTCATATTATGTTGGTATTTTCAGAACAAATGTTATTAGTAAATTGCATGAGATCAGCACCATACTATGACTTTAAAGAGAGAAAGAGGTAAAATTATTGATTAATTTACATAAATATCATTTTTTATACATTCATTACAAATATATGCCATATACCTTGCGAGTTTTGGAAAAATCACAAGAAATCTGAGAAAAATGACGTTTGTGTCACAATTTGAATGATGATAATGATAATGATAATGAAATGAATTTTTAATGTTACCGTTACTTAAGAATTTTTATCAATGGTAACACTGTTTACTTATCCAAAATAGATAAAACAAGTGGCTAAAATGTTTTATGTTTCGATTTCGACAATACCCCCCGACTCCCGAAATATAATAACACAATAATTGCAGAGTTTATTAGTCACTATATAATTTAAAGAGCCCGTCATGCCTATCATCATGTTAATATCTTTCCGCAACTATAAAAGACCTTTCCAATAATAGCTTTTCCGATAATTCATCATAAAATATTCACATCGCTGTACAAATACAATAACATTGCTTACGAGTAGCTCGTGACGGAGAAATTTTAAACAGAAATTATTAATATGCAAATGCTTCGTTTTTAAACTCTCGCCCTATTTAGTGCGAATTAAAAATCGTATATTTCGAAATTAAAAAAACCTGCAAAGTATTAGTTCTCTTCTTATGTGCGAAAATTAAAGAGAGAAAAAGTCGTAAACAGGAGACACTGATAATTTCTTGTATTTACGCGATTACACATTATAAATGAAACTAATTTTACGGATTTATCGCGTTTATTTTTAATTTTAATTCCCGACGTTTCGAACCCTTTACAGCGTTCATGGTCACGGGACAGACTGAGGTGTTAGACGTCTGATTGTCATAGTTAACCCGGGCTACCGTCAGTTTTTGAATTATTAATTTTGTGTCCGATCTATGCAGAGGGAGCTAATTGTATCTTGTCTTGCAGTAGTGGTTCGTTTGGGCCTAGATTTAATTTTATTGATGACAGGATCCCAAGCTGATGGTAGCGATAAATCCGTAAAATTAGTTTCATTTATAAGGAGACACTGATATTAAGAGTTACAATACTCGTTCTTAAATTATGAATATCACTTACATATTTATAGGACTGATGATCAGGGAGCTATGCGAATCTTGAAATAGTTAAACATTTCATAACATTAAATAAAGCTTGCTATGTTTATTAATTACAAATATTTAATAAATACAGATCTAAATTTAATAATTAAAATATTTTTTTTAATTGCTTTATCTTCATGAAGCCCATTGGGTTAATATTTGTAACGAATTTCCTTAAATTTCAATTAACATCTCCGACATCGTCTGTAAAATTTAAATGAAAAGCATTTAAATTTTACAGACGATGTCGGTTTGTAATGAATTAATTATACTGGGACTCCCAGAACTAATGTTTCAAATAATTCCCCAGCTTAATTTTTCTTTTATTTAAGAAAACATATAATTACTTTATCCATCGTTAGAAAAA